CCTCAGGAATTCCTGTTGGCAGGGGAGTGGTTTCTGGTGGACTTGCATCTGAGAGTTAGGGTGTAGCCTTTAGTCAAGGGAAGGCACTATATAGCTGCCCGGGAAGACAATAAAAAGGCATTCTTGGCGTTACCCATCTCTCTGTGTGTCTCTGTGTGTTCCAATCTCCAGTCCCTTGCCCATCTCACAAACCATATCATAGCATATAGTGCATAGAGCAGGCATTGCACTACAGGTGCAAAGGTGGGAGGGTGGACCTGGAAGAAATGAAACAAAAGTGTAATCAGGGTGCATTGTATGCAATTCCAAAATAATTAATAAAATTATTATGTTGGGGGGGGGACTAACCAGAATATCAAACATGAGTTCTAGTCTGAAGGACCCACATAAAAAGGTAAGACATGATGGGATGCACCTGTAATCCTAGTGAAACAGAGACAAGAGGTTCCCAGAGGCTTTCTGGATGACCAGTCTAGTTGATTGGTAATCTACAAATTCTTGAGAGACCTTGTCTTAAAATTAAGGTGGAGAGTAATTGGGGAAAATACCAGATATCACCCTCTTGTCTTTAAACACATGTGAACACATGTACATACACATACATACACACATGCATGTATGTACACAAGAGTCAGTGAGGAAATTGTGGACGGGGCTGCTCATTCGTTTTCCAGCTGCCCAGACCTGAAATAATCACTCTGAAACTATATTATTTACAATACTGTTTGGCCAATAGCTTAAGCATATTTCTAGCTAACTCTTACATCTTAAATTAACCCATTTCTATTAATCTGTGTATTGGTTGTGGCCTACCAATAAGGTTCAGTCCAGCATTTGGCATTTGTCTGCTGCAGAGGCTACATGACTTCTCTCTGATTCCACCTACGCTCTCCTCTATCTACTTGGAATTCCCACCTTTCCCTATTCTGAGCTGCAATAGACCCAAAGCAGCTTCTTTATTAACCAGTGGTATTCACCAGCATACAGAGGGGACTCCCACATCACTTCCCCTTTTTCTGTCTAAATATAAATGAAGGTTTTAACTTTAACATAGTAAAATTACATATAACAAGACAGGTATCAAGCAACAATTATAGTTATAATATTTATATCTACTTTATCTTTTATCAAAACTACATAAGGAAAACTACAATTTTATCTGTCTATTCTTCAACTACCAAAGACTCCAGAAGTATATACTATTACCTAAGTTAACAGGAATTGCATTGTAAACAACTTCCAAAACTTTAGAATTGACAGAGACATCTTACTGCCTGGACAGTCACCCAAAGTTCTTCTGTAACATTGGGGCACCCATCTTCAGCCTACAGGCCCATAGTATCCAGCAGACTTTTCCATGAAGCAGAAAATTTCAAAGATAGTTCCACCTGTATTGGCAGTTTGTCAGTCACTTTCATCTATGTCCTATAGAATGTTTGCAGACTCTTTCATGAAGCAGGAACCCCAAAGGATTATCTCACCTTTAGGCAAGTTCAGAAGTCATTTCTCTGTGGGTCCTTCATGTCCAGTTCATACATCAAGCAGTTCAGGCAAAAGCAGCTTTTTGCACAAATGGCTAGCAAACTCCATAAGGAGCTTCTTTGAAGCCCATCATCCTCTTGTAATTGTGTTTCCAGGAGCAGATGTGTCTCACTGTCATGAAAAATCCTAAGTTCTTAAAACATTTTAAATGCCATATTCTGTGAGTCTTTGAAAGGTTTGAAGAATACCTAGCCAACTGAAATATATCTCTATATATCTAGAAAACCTAACTATTATGGTTATAAGCTTAACTACTATAGATAATTATCTGTTAACTTGTTTTTCTTAATTATACATTATACTTTTAGATGAGTTGCACAACCATAACACCTTAATCAAGAACAGAAATAACAAAATTGACCTTAAATTTGTATCCAAGACCAAGATCCATACCAATGCAAAGTATTCATCTCTATAGCATATCACCCTTTAAATGTAAACAAGAATTTATAAACAATCATTTGGGGAATTGAAACTGCTTCCTGCTTTTTGGTAGGAAAAGTAATTTTGGGTGTTCATGGTGATCTTTTGGGTGGTCTTGTCCCATCAAACCACATTAGTCTGGAAGAAATCCACAGGTTCCCATCATCTGTGAAAATAAAAGTAGAACCTCTTTTCCAAAGCAACATAGCCTTAGACCCAAATTTTGAAGTCAAGATACCTTTAAAATGTATAAGTTGGTTTAGCTTAGCAGCCTGTACAATGAACTGTCTCTCTGTACTTAACTCCTTCACAGCCAAAAACTTTAAAGAAAACACAATAGTATACATAACCAGACTCTCTGTGCATATTCCATCTTTATGTAGCTTATTTTTTATTCGCGCCTTTAATCTATGACTGTCTACTCTGTCTCTTTAAAGTCTTTGTTTTATTTTTTTAAACCATTTACTTCTTTTTATAACTCTCTATACTCTTTTTCTTCTCTTTCCCAAACCTACATGACCCATTTTGAGGTTTATTTCTGTCCGAATCAGTCTTTATTGCATATCTTTATTTTTTTACCAGGAGCACTTTTTTATTTTTAAATGCTAAGTGGTCATGGCTAGGACCAACTCCATGATCCTGCCTGTTGGCTCTGCCCAGTCCAGCATGGTAGAGGCATATTCACTGCCTCTGAAAGCCATGCATGCTGCCACAGCTCCAGGGTTGCAGCAGGTCTATGTCACTATTAAGCAACTAGTACCATGCTGCTCACAAACCCCATTTAGGTGCTGAGCCTCCTGAAAGAGCCAGAACTGTTCATGCAACTAGCATGAACCAGGAATTTGCTGTGTGGACGCTGCATGGGTTTTTTTTTCTGCTAATGCTGAATCAGGAAGAACTCTCTTAAAGGAGCTGCAGCACCCCTGCTCACTGCCAGCCATGAGAGTTCATCTGAATAAAACAAAAATGTCGGCTACCAAGAAACCATGATTAATTCTGTTCTTTTGTGTCTAGAATTCCTTTCTAAGCTTTCTCAGGTTTTATGTGGATGTAGTCAGCCCCACACTGGTGTGCCAATATGTAGATGGAGGCTGCTTGTTTGTTTCCCAACATCCCTGACCCAAAATAATCACACAGAAACGATATTATTTACAATACTGCACCAATGGTATTCACAGCAGACAGAGGGGAATCCCACATCAGGGAATAATTGTGTAACTCTGTAATAATGGTTCTTGGAAGGTAGAAGCAGGAGGATCAGGAGATCAATTGTTATAACAATTTGAGGCCAGCCTGAATTATAGGTCTGAAAACTAAAATAAACAAATAAATGAAAATGGACTCGAAAGGAACCTCATGGATCACCCCAATAATAATTAGAGAGAAAAATAGCAGGTCAGGAAAGCAGTAGATGTCAGCAGCTTCCAGGAGGGAAGAATGGAAAATGGGGAGTGAGTGATACTCTTTGAGTTAGTGTACAAGGAAGCAGGCAGGCACAGCAATGAAGGTTTGGAAGCAGTTGTATGAGATGGGAGATGCCTTCAAAAAACAAGTTTGCATCCCAGCTTCCGATGACTGCAGGAGACCCCGCAAAGCCCATGGTGGAATTGGTCTTGACTGGACAGGAAGCACTGGGAAAGCACCAGGTAGAGCCTGAGAAAAGAATGCACATGACTAGGCCAGGGATGCCTGAGTGTGACAGAATGAACTCCCACATCCCCTAGCTTTGATTCCACCTAAGCCCTGTGCCCATGAGTGCTACCTAACCACAGCAATGAGAGTGATCCTCCTTATTCAGTCTACTGTGTCAAAAGTGTATCACTCCTAGAAATATCACCAAGGCCACACCAGCATACATTTTACACACTTCCTGGGAGCTCTCAGCGCAGTTCATTTGACACATAAAATATCAACTTTGAAGAGCAGATGAAGTCTGAGTGAATGTATATTGCTGATATGGACATATCTATATCAAGAACCACAATGCCTCAGACCCATGAGAATGACAAGGCCTTCACCAGGTCAGGCTCAGAAGAAAGACAAAGCCTTCTGGTGGCCCAAGGACAGATGCTGCCAGTATGTGCAGAAGTACCAACTACAGCTTCTTCCTCCATGGTGACTATGTTGGATGGAGACTGCTCCTCTCCAGACATTAAAGAGATAAGCTGGCATGAGTCCTAGTTCATCTGTAAATGATAAACCCACCTTCTTGTTCAGCCGTACATGCTGAATTTCTGGGTGGCTATTGCATTTCCATCGGAGTACATGGCTACCGATCCCGATTCTTTCTGGACTTGTTCCAGTCTTTCTTCATTTCCAGTTGCCCCAGTCAGGTCTATCCCAGAGCCATGCAGGCCTTAGGAATCAACCATTCCATTGTAGTAAAACCCTGGACGCAATAGTAGCCAACTGTATTGTGTCCGCAGAAAACTAGGGTTTGATGGTCACAGACTCATCACAGCTCTCCAAGAACTGTCTGAATAGCACAATGTTAAATAGAGACACAGGAAACCGCACTGCCCAGGAGATTCACTGGCAGTAAATTTACAGAGAATAAGGGTAAATTCAATCCCCTTTCCACAAACAGAAAGGGGTAAACAAGAATGAAGGTCCCCATGCCAGTGGAGCTGCAAGACAGAAGAGGATATCAAAGACCCAGTAAAAGCAATATCCTAGAAACCTAATATTGACACAGCCACGGATGTGGAGGTAGGGAGACCATCCAAAGTCCCTCCTGGCCACTCTCACCTGCCACATCATCATTCATTAAGCCCCATTCACTCATTTTCACAGTTCAGAGTCCCAGTATACGTTGCAGCGAATGAGAGTCCAGACAAACATACTCTATCCTCTAGAGCGCTTTGGCCCCGCTGTGAGGGTCTTGGATTAGAAGCAAGATGGTTTAAATTTCCTCCAGTCTCATTAGACTCCTCAGAGGCGGGCACTACAGGCACAGAGCTCAGACTCTTGGAAGCAGCTGTGACACTTGGCAAGTCCAAAAAGAAAAAAAGAAAAAAAATACAACACAGAGCAAGTGTGTTTCAGACTTTATTGGAGATGAGACAAGCCCCGCCACCGGGAACTTGAAACAGTATTGACCTGTAGGGTAATTCTAGGGAGCAGAGCGCAGGGCAGACATCAAATCACAGAAGAGGACTGTGTGGTTGGTTGGGGCACAAATGAAGACGGGGCGTTGACTAAAGGAAGCAGGGAGATGAAGACTGCATGGGCTTGACTAGGTTAAGAACTGAGGAGACAAAGCCGGAGAAGGGTTTGGGAAGGAGAAGGAAGTGGGAACAGGGAGGCAGCAGTGCAGAAGGACAGCTGTCTCCGGGGCCTGGAGGACCCCTAGCATAGACAGGTCCCCCTTATAACAGTCAGCATAGCGGGGGTCTACTTGTTACACCAGTGCGCCATTTTTGAGAATATAGGTGTTGGGAGGAAGCGACTGGTCTTCATGTAGGCAGAGATCTTCTTCAGGCCCTGCAGAATGGGAAGGACACAGCAGGAGCTCAGTCTGCAGCCCACTGAGAGGAGCAGTCCCAAGCCAGGAGCAACCTTTGTTTTGGCCTCAGGCTGCAACACCCTGCAGACTGCTTAGCTCCCAGCCCTGGCAAAAGGGCTCTTTCATAGCCCCTATTAAAGGGGAGACTGGATCCTGTGTAAGCTGTTTTATAACCACTAAAAATTACAGTGTAGGTTCAGAAAACCCACCCATCAATCCTGCAAGATCAGTTATCAGGGAGGAACCTGAGGTCCAGAGAGGGTGAGCAGCTTCTTAGCTCACACAGCTAGTGAAACAGGGCTGGATTCAAGCTGCCCCACAAAACTCTCCTATGTGCTCTCTCTTGCTCTCTTGCTTGCTTTCTCCCTTGCTCTGTCTCTGTTGGTCTCTGTGTCTCTCTCTCTTTGTCTCTCTCTCTCTCCTCCTCCTCATCCTCTACTTCCCTCCTTCCCTCCCTCCTCCCTCTCTCTCCCCTCTCTACTCAGCTGCCCTCCAGAGGAGACCCTGTCCCAATCTCTGCATGAACATGATCCTACTCCTGTGGTCACTCTTTTTAACCTCTATTTGCACACGGGGGAGGGATCTACAGGATAAAAGAACTGAAAAACTTGACTGTATGTATTTAGGAAGACAGCCAAGCACCCAGTGATTTCAGCAAATCATGCAAGAAAAGGAACATCAAGATGACAGCCCACAGAGAAAGCTGAACTGCATTCTAATCAGCGTCCTGAGAGCAGAATTAACAGCTCTCTATCTGGTGCCCAGTACAGTGTTACTGCACCCTGAATGTCCTCATCTCCCCTGCTAATACAGGGACCACCCCGTGTGACTGTATAATGTGCTGTAAACCATACTCCAAGCTGGAGAATACACAGACAATTCCAGGGGGTGTAAAGAGATCCACAACCAAATAGACACAAGCTGGGCCAAGGGGCCTTGTGTTTTTCCACTCGCCCGCCCTAGAGCCATGCCAACTATTGCACAGTTCCCAAGGGTACCCAGCCTGGACCAGAACCAAAGCTTATGAGAGCTGGCTGAGAGAGATTGGAGATTTAGCTCAGTGGTAGGGCATTTGCCTAGCAAGGCCCTGCGTTCAGCCCTCTGCTCAGGGGAAGGAGAAAAAGTTAACTGAGAAAGTACATCCCTTGATAAGGAACGGGCAAGGTCAACAGATTGCAGGTTAAACAAAATCCTTGGATCAATGTCTCCAATTCCCAGATGTCTGAACGACTCAAGTCTGACGTAGGTGTGGTTCAAGCTGGGTTCAGCAGCCCTGGGGAGTATCGCGAGCATCTCACAGCCTGGCTTCCTACAGCTCTCTGCCTACTCGGTCCCCAGATGGAGGTATTTTGCATGCCCTCTGAGGCCCAGCATGAACCTCATATGGAGGAGGCTGTCAGAGAATAACAGTGGAGAGAAAGAATTTGACCCCATTTCAGACAGGACCTGTGATGTGAAGGAGATTGGAAGGGAGGAAACCAGAATGCAGCAGCAGTAGCTCACCCTCACGATAAATGTCCCCAACAGGGTGGGCACACACGTGTCCACTCAGTGAGGCACCAACTGCGACCCTGGGCTCTCAGTGGTCTGCAGATGAGGTCTGAACTCTCTCACAGGTGGTGTGTCACCTCAGTCCTGCATGTCTCACTTTCCTAATGCCAAGAACCACGTACTATTGACATGCTCTGCCCTGCCAAGGATCCTAAACAGGAAACTGAGTCTGCATGGGTGGGAGTGAGCAGGGCTGAAGCTTTTTCTTTTGACACAGAACAGGGATAGTGACCGAATGCTGACCCAGAAAGAGATATGGAGCCCAGTACAGTGTCTGCTGGTACTGAGACCATGAACAAATGAATACCCTCTACAGAGTCAGATCCCTCATCTGTCCGGTGGGACTCAGAATCTCATCAGCATTTGGGGATTTTGAAGTGATAAATGTTGCCCCAAATAGGTCTGTAAAGAAAGCTCAAAAAAGCCCTAGTTATTGTCCTTTTGCCTCAGAAATAGAAAAGCATTGTGGAAGAGAGGAAGAAGACTGCTCAAAGGAAGCAGGATCAGGACATCACCTCAAAACGGGCCAAGAAGTCCTTCAGGTTGGGGAAGGCATCCAGACATTTGGGCTCAAATAAGCGGTACTGGTCAAGAATATCATAAGCGAGGAAATCCACATAGGTGATCTGCAGGAATTGAGGGTCAGTGAGATAGGATCTGGTAGCCTGGGAAGGATGGTGACTCCTTACCCCCATCTCCTTCTCTTTACCTTGTCCCCTGCAAACCACGGCCGCTTGCCTAGAAACTCCGAGTAGAGCTTCATCTTCTCGGGGATGGTCTTCAAGAACTCTGGCTTCTGCTTCTCCTGAGACAGAAAACAACCATCACCACCTTTAGGCTTAGGCTCCCAGCAGGGAGCTTGGGCTCCCAGAACTGTGCAAGAGAAGAGCCACCTTCCCAACAAAGGGTCGGGTCTGTGCCTGGGCTTCCAGTTAACACACCACTATTTTATTGGGGGCAGAATTCACGTCAGAGGTGATGGGAAGTCAGACAGGAATTTCACTGTCCCTGAAATCTGAAGACCAAACCAGGTGCTGTGAGTGACACCCAGGGCCTCCTGACGATCTTGCATGTCCTGGCTCAGAGATCCAGTGGAACCACAGATACAAAGGCCATAAAGAGGAGGCAGTTATACTAGGTTGGGGTTTGGGAGGCCATGAGAACAGCTCACACGTGTGAGGAGCTTGCATCGGTGTCGAGGAGTGACCAATACTGAAAGGAAGAAGGCTAAGCGGTCCTCTGGCTGACCCTGAGTGGCCTATTAGGAAGATGTCCTGACTTCTATTGATACCTAAGGCAGAACGATGGGGACATGTGTGAGACCAGTGTGCATATATGACCTACTTGCATCATTTGGTGAATCACTGCTGCTTGTTGGGGGCGGGGGGCTTATTGATGTTAAGGGTCTTTCCCAATCACTATCCACCTTCTTTTTTTGAGACAGGGCCTCTCATTGAATCTAGAGCTCACAGACTGGCTGGATTCATTGGCCAGCAGGCCCCTCCTGTTTCTCCCCCAGAACGCTATGATTATAAGAACAGGCTGGCAAACACAGACTTTTTGTGGTGCTAAGGATCTATACTAAAGCCCTCACAGCAAGTACTTTTAACCACCAGGGCATCCTCATATCCTCCAACTTTATCCTGAAGACTCTTACGAACACAGGGTAAGATGACACATGGAATCGGCAGAAGGACAGACACGGCAGAGATGTACAACTACATAATGGACTTAGATCCACTGTTCACCTGCAGAATCTCAACCATATCTTACAGGTTACTCTAGTAGTGATAGTTTCACAGTGTCAGTGTGCTGTCTCGCTGGGTTATGAGGGTCATTCTGCTGGTAAGAGAGGAGAGCTTGGAGAATCAGTAACAGTTCATTCACTGAAGGAGGAGGCTGCAGATCTGAATGCAAGCCTTTAAGTCCTGCTGCCAACCCTGTCTGCTCCACCACGGGCAACTCACAAAGTCAGGGTTGTAACATAGCATGATGAGCTGCATGCGGGTGTCCATGACCTGGTTCTCCACAATGTCGGCACAAATTCTCTCCTGCTCTGTCTCCCCGCCTGCAGCACACACAGTACAGAGTCACCCTTAGCCTCTCACCCCAGTCCAGACAAGGAGATTGTCCCCCATGCCCCACCCTGTAGCCAGCCCCACTCACACAGGTTGTGCTTGCGGGCAATGTAGCGCAGGATGGCGTTGCTCTGGGTGATCTTGTGGGACCCGTCAATTAAGTAGGGCAGCTGGAAAGACAAGCAGGGATGGTCAGATGGAATATGGGGACCCTGCATCCTTCTCTGGGTGAGGACAGACAGGGGGCTTGTCACTCAGTGTGTCTGACATGGGAAACCCTCCACGAGCACAGTGCACACTGAATGGAAGAGCCGGGACACAGCTCATCACAGACACACTGTGCAGCCACCAGGAACGGGAGCAGGAGAGCTGAAGCTCTGACCCCAAAACCCCTCAGCCAGACAAGGAGATGAGGTGAGGACGCCACGCCTTCCCCAAACCTCCCCTTCCCTGCACCTACATTGGGAAAGTCCAGGCCCAGCTTGAACTTCTCATTCAGCCACTGGCTTCGGTCAAAGTCGGGAGCTGTAGACAAGAGGATGAGAAAAGCAGTCAGCCCAGTGCCCACCCTACTCCTGGTATTGGACCAGGAGAAACAACCCCTGAGGCAGGGGAATCCGCAACCCCCCACAGAGTCACTGCCCAAGATGGAGGAGAGGGAAACAAACAACTGGTAATAAGAGGAGCCTGGACCCAATAGGACCCCAATACTGCACCCGGCCTAAATATGAAAACAGATGCACCAGGAGTTTCATTCTCAGGGTTCTGTACTGGAAAACCAAACTGCATCCCCAAATAAGTTTCTGTAAGCAGCAGTCTCTAGCTTCAACGGTAGGACGGCTGCAGGTCTGAGGAATAAGGCATGAGCTAATGGACATCAATGAGCAAAGGGAAGCAGGTGACTGACCAGGAAGGTGTCATTACCGTCCCCCATGGTGTATCTCTTCTCCTCATAGCTTGAGTCTGTGTATTCCAGGAGCAGGCGGATGGGGTGTGTCAGCTGAGAGAGATCAGAAACAGAGGTGAGAAATAATGGGGACCTTGCTGTATGACTTCGTCTTCTCTAATTGAGACCACACATTGCACAAATACAACCACCATGCAACGTGCATACCTACGCGTGCTGCACCACCACTACCACCGCCGCCACACACACACAGACTCCCATAAACTCCTGAGCGCCAAGAGCTACTGGCAGAAGATTCTAGGGGAGGTGGAGAGTACCGAGGAGCACCTCTCTGCTAGAAAGACCCCGCTGTTATGAACTTCCTGCTTCACATCCCAGTCTCCTCTCTTACACCGCGGACATTCCAGTATCCCAGGATCATAGGCATAGTGCTGGTGGTAGCCTTCTCAAACTGTCTTCAGTATGGTAGACGTGGGTCTTCGGACAAGCTGTGACTTTATGCAGACTCACAGGGAGACAGAGGACGACAAATCAGCGGGTCCCGCCCCACTCTGCACCAATCCCAGTTAGGCACTCCCCTTCTTCCCTTGTGTAATCAGAGCTACAGATCTAGACCCAGAAGGCAAGAGGGCCACACCCTCTCCGAGAGAGGAGGGATTGAGAGCCTCAGCAGCCTCTGCCCCAAGATTCTGTCCTGTGCACCCTGAAAGCAAAATCTGTTCCTCTCCAAACCCTCTTAGCAACTGCCGCCATCGCCACCTGCTGGATGCTCGGAAAACTGGCACTTTCCCTGGAAACTGGCCAGATAGCTAAAAAACAAGGATGTTTTCCTTTGCTTGGCAGAGCTAGATTTTCTAACTCAGACTGTGGGAATCTATCATTCTGGGAGGTTCGACTCTCAGCTTAAGGAGAAAAAGACGCGCCCCCAACTTGAAACCTTAATCTAGCACGTATCCTTGAAGAAAGGGCTCTGCCGGTTGGTTGCACCGCTCCCAATTGTGCACACAGATTCCAGTGACAGGAACGGTTAGTGACCTGGAAACCACCCCAGGGCAGGGACAAAAGAAGAGTAAACGTCTCTCTGTCTTCCTTTAGGAGATTTGGGAACCCAGCCCTCCTGGTCATCAACATTAACCAGTGTTTTGGCTGTGTTTATGAATCCAAATTCAAGAACCAAACACAGAGAGTCAGAAATCTGAGGGGAGTCACAGCCATGGACAGTAACCAGTTAACAGAACCAGCCCAGTGCAAAGGAGCAAAGAGCTCACAGGCGGGGGGGTGATGGAGTGGGAGAGCATGTGTTCCAAGAAGCTTGCTGTCAAGGGACAACAGGATGCTGTCCACACAGGAGCCTGGAACACTCTGCACAGGACACTAGAAGTTCAAAGCTAGACCCTCATCTGTGCAGATCCCTGGATTCTGGACCTTGACCAGGCTCCTGATACATGAGATATGACAGGGTAGCTCAAATGACCTTTCAAGTTACCCTGGGGTAAGTAAGGGTCCTGGGGTAACCTTCATAAGGACAATGCCCTACCAACAGCAGGGTCTCACCTGTCTGCTTTCTCCCTTGAAGATGAGAGACTCTTTCAATATCAAGAGGCTTGCTTTTAGTGGACCAGAGGGTGACATCACCTTGTTTACAGAAACTTATCAGAAACAATAAAAAACAAATGACAGAAGTGGAGATTAAAATGGGTTTGCAAGACAAAGGACAAGGCCATTGCTCCAAAGAAAGTGCATTTTGGGATTAAGGTCACCCTTTACTAGGTCCACAGGATATGAAGCCAACACATCCATGAAGGTTTGCCCTCTGGAGGGTGCAGAGTGTAGTGAGGGTGCAGGGGACAGGCAGAGGCTGGCTTCAGTCTGTGAAATTAGGGAAGCCAGCCACATGGGTGACATTCTAACATTGTCAACGCAAATTCACAAAATTCTTGCTACACTTGCTTCTGGATTTTTAAAGACAAAGGAGAAATGGGTACCAGTAGACCAATTAAGGGATCTCTGCCTCGTGGAGAGAGGATATCAAAGACCCAGTAAAAGCAATATCCTAGAAACCTAATATTGACACAGCCACGGATGTGGAGGTAGGGAGACCATCCAAAGTCCCTCCTGGCCACTCCCACCTGCCACATCATCATTCATTAAGCCCCATTCACTCATTTTCACAGTTCAGAGTCCCAGTATACGTTGCAGCGAATGAGAGTCCAGACAAACATACTCTATCCTCTAGAGCGCTTTGGCCCCGCTGTGAGGGTCTTGGATTAGAAGCAAGATGGTTCAAATTTCCTCCAGTCTCATTAGACTCCTCAGAGGCGGGCACTACAGGCTCAGAGCTCAGACTCTTGGAAGCAGCTGTGACACTTGGCAAGTCCAAAAAGAAAGAAAAAAGAAAAAAGAAAAGAAAAAGACACAACACAGAGCAAGTGTGTTTCAGACTTTATTGGAGATGAGACAGACCTGGAGGAGCCCCACCACTGGGGAACCTGAAACAGTAGTGATCTGTAAGGTAATTCTAGGGAACTGTGTTAAGCGGAGACATCAAACCACAGACGAGAACTGTGTGGTTTATTGGGGCACAAATGAAGAAGGGGCCTTGGTGAAAGGAAGCAGAGAGAATGACATCACAGGGACTTGACTAGGACAGGCCTGATTAGGAAGCAGGGGCTGACAAAGCCTTGTGGAGAGGAGAAAGAAACGGGAACAGGGAGGCAGCAGTGCAGAAGGCCAGCTGTCCCAGGACCTGGAGGATCCCAGTATGGACAGATCCTCCTTGTGTGTGCCAGCATGGCAGGGGCTGGCAGGGATCTAATCGGTACCCCACTGGGCCATCTTAGTAAACACAGGTCTTGGGAGGAAGCGGCTACTCTTCATGTAGGCAGAGATGTTCTTCAGGCCCTGCAGAATGGGAAGAAAGCACAGCAGGAGCTCGGATCTGCAGCCTCACTGGGCTGAGCAGCCCCAGCAGGAAGAGCATTTCTCAAAAGCTCAAGCCCTGGAGCACACACAGCACAGTCAGTTTAACTCCTAGACCTGGCAAGAAAACTCTTCAATTCCTATAGTACAAGAAAGACTAGACCCTATGAAGGTGCTTTATACCCACTAAAGGTTACAATACAGGCTCAGGAAACACCGTGACAAGCAATCAGAGGTCCAGCGAGGTTAACCAACTTGCCCTTCTCACTAAGACAGGGCTCCCCAAGACAGGGCTAGAGTTAGCCTGACTCTGTGGCTGCCAGTCTCCCGCACGACCTCCCCCTTCCCCCAACAGACATTCCACTGGAAAGCACTTTCTAGCTTGCACTATTTACACACACAGGAGGGATGCAACAGGAAGAAAAGAACCAGGAAGACAGGTGGAACCCAGGGACTTGACAAATCCTGAATGAAAGGGGACATCAAGAGAACAACCAGCAAAGAAAGGCTGCCTGTCATTCTAAATGATTTCCTGAGAGCAGAACTGACAATTCTTCAGCTGGTTCCTAAGGACAATCTCCCTGCACCCTGGCTGCCCTCATCTGTACCCGCAACACAGGAACTACTTCATGTGACTGTATGTTGTGCTATATAAGTCATCCCGACCAAGCTGGAGCAATTGCAGAGGGTGTAAAGAGATCCACAGCCAACTAGGCACAGGCTGGGCTAAGGGGCGCTGTGTTTCTCCACACACCCACCCTAGAGCTGTGCCAGCAGTTGGACATTCCCCTAGGGCACCCAACCTGGGCCAGCACAAAGCTGATGAGAATTAAATGGGAAAGTGTATCCTTCCTTGGTGGGAAATGAACAAGGTCAACAGATTGCAGGGAGAAAAATCCTTGGATCAAGACCTCAGACTCCCCATTGTAGACGACTCAAGACTGAAGTCTGGTACACTCACTCCAGACCGAGATCAGCAGCTATGGGGAGTATCACATTCATCTCACAGTCTGGGTTTCTACAATTCTCTACTGATTCTGTCCCGGGGTTGTGACATTTGTATGTCCCCCCCACCAACACCTTTGGGGATTTTGAAATGGTAAATTTTGCCCCATCTAGGTCTGTAAAGAAAGCCCCCTCCCAAAAAAAAACCCTCCTACTTGCTTTCCTTTAGTCTTGGGTTAAAAAAAGTATTGAGGAAGAGAGGAAGGAGGCCACTCGAAGGAAGCAGGAAAGGGCATCACCTCAAAGCGGGCCAAGAAGTCCTTCAGGTTGGGGAAGGCATCCAGGCATGTGGGCTCAAATAAACGGTACTGGTCAAGAATATCATAGGCGAGGAAATCCACATAGGTGATCTGCAGGAAGCTGAGGGTGAGTGGCTGGCATCTGACAATCTGGGAAGAACAGCAGTTCCTCTTTCCACCTCCCTCTCTTTACCTTGTCCCCTGCAAACCATGGCCGCTTGCCCAGGAACTCAGAGTAGATTTTCATCTTGTCGGGGATGGCCTTCAAGAACTCTGGCTTCTGCTTCTCCTGAGGCAGAGAATATCTGTGACCACCCTTAGCCACAGGCTCCCAGCAGAGAAGCTGCTGGCTTTGAAGACCTAGGCTTACGAGTATCATTCCCATTTTATTAGTAGCAGAGGTCATTTGTTAGAGGTGATGGGATAATAGACAGGAATGCTACGCTGTCCCTCAATCTGTCCCCACTGGTACCCAGGTGCTGGGAGTCACATCCGGGACTTCCTAAGTATCGTGGATGCTCTGGCCCGAGAGATCCAGTGGAGTCACGGGAACAAAGGATTTATAGATCCCAGGAGAAGACGGTTATACTCGGATTTGTGGGGGCGCACGAGAGCAGATCATATATTGGCAGAGCATGCACCAGATTTGAGCAGTCACTAATATTGGCAAGAAGAACAGCAAAGGTCCTCGGACTAGCCCTGAGCTGCCTCCTAGGAGGATGTCCTGACCATGACTGATGCCAAAGACAGGACTCTTGGAAAGACTAGTGGGAAACCATTGCACATGTCACACTTCCAAGTTTGTGCACCCTGTCTTCACAATGTGTTTGTAGGAGGGGTGTGTGTGTGTGTGTGTGTGTGTGTGTGTGTGTGTTTGTGCATCTGTGGAAGCTAAAGGTTCTTCTCCAGTGTCTGTCTCAATCACTCTCCACATTATGCTTTGGGGACAGTGTAGGGAAGAAGACAAACAAATGGTCTCTGCCTACAGGACAGTTATTCACTGAACCTGGAACTCACAGACGGGCTGTGTTCATTGGCCAGCAAACCCAGAAATCCTCCTGTTTCCTTTCTCAAGGTGCTATAATTATAAGACCGTGCTGTCGTGCTCAGGTCTATTTGTGGGTTTTTTGTTTTGTTTTGTTTTGGTTTGGTTTGGTTTGGTTTTTCGAGACAGGGTTCCTTCTGCGGCTTTGGAGCCTGTCCTGGAACTAGCTCTTGTAGACCAGGCTGGCCTTGAACTCACAAAGATCTGCCGGCCTCTGCCTCCTGAGTGCTGGGATTAAAGGCGTGCGCCACCACTGCCCGGTCAGGGTCTATTTGATTTTAATGTGGGTACTGGAGATCCATTATCAAGTCCTCAGGCTTACACATCGAAGACTTTGACCCTCCGAGCCACCTCCCAGGCCCTTATTTTTATCCTCTGAGTCTGTGTTTTAAGAGGACTTGTTACTGGGAACACTAGGTTAGATGGCACGTGGAAGTGCTCAAACGACAGAAATATCAGGGATTTTAACGACACAGGAAATGTCGAGGGTCAGAAAGTTCACGCTATAGACTCTCAACCATATCTTACAGGTTACTCTAGTAGTGATAGTTTCACAGTGTCGGTGTGCTATCTCGCTGGGTTATGAGGGTCATTCTGCTGGTAAGAGAGGAGAGCTTGGAGAATCAGTAACAGTTCGTTCACTGAAGGAGGAGGCTGCAGATCTGAATGCAAGCCTTTAAGTCCTGCTGCCAACCCTGTCTGCTCCACCACGGGCAACTCACAAAGTCAGGGTTGCAGCAGACTATCATGAGATGGATGCGGGTGTCCATGACCTGGTTCTCCAAAGTGTCCACACGAATCCTCTCCTGCTCTGTCTCCCCACCTGCAGCACACACAGCACAGACTCACCCTCAGCATCTCGCACCAGCCAAGACAAGGAGATTGTCTCCCATGCCCCACCCTGCAGCCAGCCCCACTCACACAGGTTGTGCTTGCGGCCAAGGTAGCGCAGGATGGCGTTGCTCTGGGTGATCTTGTGGGACCCGTCAATTAAGTAGGGCAGCTGAAGGAGTAACCAGGGATGGTCAGATGGGATATGGGAACCCTAAACCCCTCCCTGGGTGAGGACAGACATGGGGCCTGGCACTCAGTGTGTCTGCCATGGGAAACCCTCCGTGAGAGCACAATGCACGCTGAATGGAAGAGCCAGGACACAGAACATCACAGAAACTCTGTGGAACCCTGGAATGGGAACAGGAGAGCTGACACACGGAACCCAAATGTCCTCAGGCAGCCAAGGAGCTGAGGCAGGGACACCGCGGCTTCCCCAAACCTCCCCTTCCCTGCACCTACATTGGGAATGTCCAGTCCCAGATTGAATTTCTCACTCAGCCACTGGCTTCTGTCAAAGTTGGGAGCTGTAAACAAGAGGATGTAACAAGAAGTCAGCCCAGGATCTAACTCTTCCTCTGGGACTACCCACCAAGGAGTCAGGAGTAAGAGACTCTGAGGGGTCTGTAACCTCTCACACTAAGTCACCATCCAAGTCGGAGGACAGAGGTATAAACAATTGGTAATAAGGGAGCCTGGACCCAAAAGAACCCCAGCAGTGAACCCAGTGGATCAGGAACTTCATTCCCAGTGTCTTTGTTCTCCTTCTTGTTGTTGTTTGAGACAAGGTCTATCAACTATGTAACTCTGCCAGTCCTGGAACTCACTCTGTAGGCCTGACCGACCTCGACCACACAGAGATCCACCTGCTTCTGCCTCCCTAGTGCTGAAACTAAAGGCGAGTTTCAACACACCAGGCCATTCCCAATGTTTAAAAAACCAAGTTGCACCCTCAAGAGGCTTCTGGAAAAAGCAGGTTGTAGCTGCAACTATATGTAGGAGGACTGCAGGCCTGTGGAATAAGGGGCTAGGCATGGACTGCTGAGCATCACTGGGCAAGAGGGAAGAAAGCAGGTGACTGTCCAGGAAGATGTCATTACCGTCCCCCATGACGTATCTCTTCTCCTCATAGCTTGAGTCTGTGTATTCCAGGAGCAGGCGGATGGGGTGTGTCAGCTGGAAGAGACCAGAGACAGAGGTGAGAAATAATGGGGACCTTGCTGTGTGACTCCATCTTCTCAAATGAGTCCTCCCACACTCCGCAAACACAGGCACCCCGCGGTGTGTATACACACACACACACACACACACACACACACACACTCACACCTGCACAGCCTCGCATGTGCAGCTTCGCCAGTCTGTGAGCTCCAGAGAGCCAAGTGGAGTATCCCTCTGCTAAGAAAACAGCCCTGGTGTCTCTGAACTTCCCGCCCAAGTCCTAGTCCCACCCCTCAGGAGGATCCCGCTCTCACTCCGCGGACATTCCAGTAACCCAGTGTCATAGGCATGGTGCTGTGGCCCTGGTCTTCTCAGACTGGCTACAGAAACGTTGAGCAGGGAACTTTAAAGGACTAAGGGAAAGGTGGGAGGGGCCTTGTAAACGGTCCCGCCCTCCATGCCCTAACCCCACTCAGGCCCAGCCTTTAACCCTTTAACTCTAAGCTTCCGCAGGGACTCTGAACCCGAAGCCAAAGGGCCACACCCCCACCCTGGGAGAGGCAGGAGAAAGAGACCACGCTGTCTCAGGCCCAGAATTCTGATGGGGAGGGGAAGGTCCTCCAATCTCTTTTAGTGCCTTCTCTGCCACCGACCCCTGGTGCCCCAAAAGCTAACAGTGCTTTCTTTCCTTGAAGAACTTGGCTTTCACTCCTAGACTGTGGAAATCTGTCATTCAGGAAGGTTCAACTCTCAATAAGAGATAAAGCGAGTAGCCCCTAACTTCAAAGTTCAATCCAGCACCCGCCCCGTTTGCTGCGCCCAGAACAGCGGGTTTGTCAGCGGCCAGACTTTCCATCCACCACAGCTCTATGATCCACCTAAAGTCGTAAGACAGCCCACAACATAGGGAGGACCCCAGGGCAGGGACAATCAGAAAACAGCTAGTCTCAGTATTTTCTTTAAGAAAAATGGGGACTCAGTCATATGCTCAGCAAGTTAGTGACCATAAAAAAATAGTATCTTTGGTCTTATTTGTGAGTAAATCCAGGAACCAGACACTGACGGCACAAGAACTCTGAGATAATCCCATCATGCTGCAGGGTCGCTGGCTGACAATTTCCGGGCGATTATCACAGTGCAAGGGAGCAAAGAGCTCACGGGTGGGGGTGATGGAGTGGGAGAGCATGTGTTCCAAGAAACTTGCTTTCAAGGGACAACAGAATGCTGTCCACTCAGGAGCCTGGAACACTCTGCACAGGACACTAGAAGTTCAAAGCTAGACCCTCATCTGTGCGGATCCCAGATTCTGGACCTTGCCCAGGCTCCTGACACATGAGTGTCTGGATAGGACAGGGTAGCTCAAATGGCCTTTCAAGTTACCCTGGGGTAAGTAAGGGTCCTGGGGTAACCTTCATAAGGGCAATGTCCTACCAACAGCAGGGTTCCACCTGTCTGCTTTCTCCCTTGAAGGCGAGAGACTCTTTCAAAATCAAGAGGCTTGCTTTTAGTGGACCAGAGGGTGACATCATCTTGTTTACAGAAACTTATCAGAAACAATGAAAAACAAATGACGGAAGTGGAGATTAAAATGGGTTTGCAAGTCAAAGGACAAGGCCATTGCTCTGCACGAAGTGCATTTTGGGATTAAGTCACCCTTTACTAGGTCCAGGATCTGAAGCCAACACATCCACAAAGGTTTGCCCTCGGGAGGGTGGGTGTGCAGTGAAGGCACAGGGGACAGGCAGAGGCTGGCTTCAGTCTGTGAAATTAGAGGAGTCACAGGCTTTGCGGGTCTCAGTGAGGATGCAGGCTCAGAGACCACGTCCCTGGAGCTGGCAGTGCCTGTGGCAAATGCTGCTTTAACATTAGAACATGTCCAGCTGCCCACTTCAGGTTCCTGCGATACCCAGGCTCAGAAAATAACCTGAGGCCGTAAGGACAATGCCCAGTGTCAAGACTGTCCGGAGAAAGACAGTACTATTCACTCACGCACGTGACTGCCTGCTTCCTGAGCTCCTATGTATTAGATCTTTAATGATTTGCTATTTTAAATGTTATTGTGCGCATTGAGCTTAGAAAATTTAACTTTTTGGATTTATCTGGAAGAAAAATGAGTTTTAAGTGCTGAGGTCGACTAAAATGATTACTTTAAAAGCCATTAAAAACATTCAATGAGCATTAAAACAATTTTACATGGAGCAGAAATTGTGCCATTGTGCGCATCCAGCTTGCTTCCTCCTTTATTAAGCATTATTCCTCCATTATTAAAATTGAGTCTCTACCACAGAGGCCCCATGGGTAAGAAGGTCCTTCATGTGGACTGTAACTTAGCTACCAAAGACCACAAGTTCAGTGGGAATTGCAGGGAACTATTTCGCAAGTGTGAGGCGCGTCAGCATATTTCCATACACTAAGGTGGCTGGAGAGGTGGGTGGATGATAGGAGAAAAAAACCCTTGCTGGCCAGGACAAGAGCTCAGAGGAACTGGAAGGGAGGTCAGAGCCCTGGAGCCCTTCAGAGGACAGAACAACTCTGTGGAAGAAGAACAGGGCTGGGACAGGAAGCCCTTAATGCAGGGTCCTAAGTTAAGATCATCACGTGACCCTTTGGATGAGAGAGGGCTCTGAGGGGCCACAGGGAGCAGTGGAGATGAGGGACATGGAAACATGTCTGAAGCCAGTACTGTGCTGCAGAGTTTAATCCCGGTGTTGACCACTGGTCCTCTGGTTGTCTCTGAGCTCAGTCACAAGTTCACAGCTCAGCCAGTTCAGGTGACTTAAAGGACACTGTGCATGAAAAAGCTAAATATATTGGAGAGAATTTGCCTTGTAACCTGTAGAGTGACATCTGAAATGAAGCCCATAATTCCTTCGAGCCCTAATAGGTGGCATGCTAACATTGTCAACGCAAACTCACAGAATTCTACATACACTAGCTTCAGAATTTTTAAAGACTACAGGGGAATTGAGTACCAAGAAACAAATGAAGTGGTCTCTGCCTCATGGAAACTTTCTGACAGTCTCTGACTTGATAAACTCAGGAAATTCCAGAGGCCCTAGCAACGTGGCTCACTTGGGAGAGCGTGGCCTTGCACACACAGAACCCTGGGATCCATTCCAACACCCCCTACACCAAGCGTATGGGAGCTCACCTAATCTCAGCTCTCAGAAGGGAGACTGGAAGACCAATAGTCCAAAGTGAGCTATGGAATGAGTTTAAGGCCCTGAGACATGAGGCCCTGTTTCAAATGGGAGGAGATGGAAATTTTAAGCTCATAAGAGTTGAGAGAAAGAACAGAGACTTGCAAATCTGTATAAATGATTTTAAAACTAGGAATCCATTTTTTCCACATATACACATTATGCTATAATGAACCAGGTCTTATGCAAATACCACAAAGAGTGAATTGAAATATTAAGACCCAAATGAATTGATAATGCACAGTAATTAGTGGATCGGAAGATATTTGGCTTTCAGGAACTAGTTGGATGGAATTTCAAAACCTCCCAAAGCTAGGAAGTTCCACCAATTGTCATGAACTGCGCTCAGGTCTGGCATAAGTGTACACCGGGAAGGCAGTACAGTGATGATGCCTGTAAATGACTGTTCCTTTGGAGTCTGAATTCCCACCCAAGCATCACAGAGAAAGAATACGGTGCCTTGGTCATAATTGCTTCCGTGCTCATACATGGCATATATGACACAGACAAAGATGGGGGATGAGGGAAGAGAACAGCATATGAACCAAACAGCTGAGCTGCAAAAGGGAGATTGGACCCTGTGCATGGTGCTTTGTACACTCCAAGTATCACAACACAGACTTGGACATACACTCAGCAATCCTGACCAATTTGTTCAACCATGATACTTGTTCAGAGGGAACCTGAGATTGAAAATGCTTAAGCAACTTCCTCTTCATATAGCTAGTCACTAGGGCAGGCCCTAGGTCAGACTGGTCTTGTGGTTGGCTTCTGTGAGGTTCCTGAACCCATGCCTCCCGCCCTGCTGCAGGGGACTCCATCCCTCTCTATGTTCATAGACATGGTCCTGCTTCCCAGCTAGGCTCTTAGCGTAGGTTTGCACACAAACTAAATTCCCAGCAGGACAAAGGAGTCTGATAGCTCAGTGCAGAATGGAAGAGGTCTTACTCAAAGACCCACTAAATTCAGGATGAAATAAAACACTGGGAAAAGGGTCCAGAAAGAAAGCCTCGTTAAGGTTGTAATCAAGCCCCTGAGAGCAGAAAAAGTCCAAATTCCTCCCCTTGGTGGGTTACGTCATTCTCACAGTGCCAAAACTGACCTCATCTCTAGGCCTGATAAGGGACCAGGTTGGACAACACCCACACATGCCACTGACCTTCTAAAGGACAGAAAGGGTCATACACTTTCAAAAGTTCAAAGCTATCCATGACTTTATACCTGTAGGCGGAGGCTGCTTGTTCGTCTCCTGGCCACCCATACCTGAAATAATCACACAGAAACTATATTAATTGAAATACTGCTTGGCCAATAGCTTCTTATGAACTAACTCTTACATCTTAAATTAACCCTTTTCTATTATTCTGTGAATTACCACAAGGCTCGTGGTTTACTTGTAATTTTCTGGCATCTGTCTTCTTAGGCAGCTCCATGGAGTCTCCTTGACTCTGCCTACTCTCTCTATATATTTTTTTCAGCCTGGCTATATTCTGTCCTGCTATAGGCCAAAGAAGCTTCTTTAAAACCAATGATAATAAAACACATTCATAGCATGCAGAGGGGAATCCCGCATCACTTCCCCTTTTCTGTCTAAATACAAATGAAGTTTTAACTTTAACATAGTAAAATAATATATAACAAGACAGGTATCAAGCAAAAATTACAGTTATAATATTTATATCTACTTTATCTTTCATCATAACTAAGGAAAACTATAACTATCTATTCTTCAACTCCATCAAAGACTCCAGAAGGATAAAATTACCCAAGTTAACAGGAATTGCATTGTAAGCAACTTCCAAAACTCTAGAATTGACAGAGACATCCTGTCACCTGAGTAGCCACCCAAAGTTCTTCTGTAACATTGGGGCATCCATCTTTAGCCTACAGGCCCATAGTATCATGGAACAGAAAATTTCAAAGATAGTTCCACCTATATTGGCAGTTTGTCAGTCACTTTCATCTGTGTCCTGCAGAATGTCTACAGACTCTTTCATGAAGCAGGAACCCTAAAGGACCGTCTCACCTTTAGGCAAGTTCAGCAGTCACTTCTCTGTGGGTCCTGAATGTTCAGTTCATACAGCATACCATCAAGCAGTCCAGGCAAGAACAGTTTCTTGCCCAAACGGCTAACCAATTCCATAAGGAGTCTCTTTGAAGCCCATCACCCTCTTGAAGTAGATTGGTGCTGCCAGGAGTAGATGTGTCTCATTGTCATAAAAAGTCCTAAGTTCTTA